AGACGATTTTTTAACCTTCAGGTTGTAACCAGTTGAGAAGAATCCTCGAAATAATAATAATAATAAAAGATGAGCTCATATTATCCTGGTACATACAATTGTTGTTCTTGCTTTGTTCAAGTTTAATAATGGGAAGAATTGCATGAAGTTATTGAAATATAATTAGCAATTTATTTGATCTGTTCTACAGCGCTCAAACGTTTTGCTGACATTAGTATATATTTTTTTGATTTTTTTCGAAAATAAAAAATGATCGTATTCTGTCAGGTACTGATATGTATCCATATGATGTGTGTTTTGTTTTTGACAGTCTATTATATTTAGCTACGTGTATATGCATCGATATTTCATTATAACTGACAATATGCTTTTGTCTGTCCACTAACTAAATAAATAATGTATGATCTTGCTGTCATATGACATTACAACCAATCATGTTAAGACTAGCTAGCCATTTTCATATATACTTTTGTACTGTATTCTTATTCCCACGTTCGTACATTGCGTACCATTTCACTCACACACTAGTGTGACATTTATTTTCCTTGTCTGGAAAATACAAGTATCATCGCAAACCTGGTGGTCTTCTGATCTCCGTCTTTCCGCGTCAGGACTGTTAACTACTCGATGAGTACATAACAATAATTGGCGACGGGGAAAACTCGAATAACTCACTCAGCAGCAGTACATAACAGCAAATATAATAAGCTGCCCAATTGATGTACACACCTGTATGACGTAGTTGTTCATTGACGACAGCTGAATTATACTTAGTAATGCAATAATCAAAACGAGACTGATTGATGATGTATAAATTTAATCTATTCTTATGTGAGTGTGCTCTTTATGCTTGATTTTCACAGCTCACAAGAATTTTGTCTCGATGCTTTCACAATCTACTCGTTATCTATCAATCATTTATAGAAAAAATTCTATTTGTCTGCCTCGATATTAATATATTTTCAAATAATTGATAGACTAAATCGAGCTGCGTCAGCTTTACTGATGAGGTCAGAAGATATCTCATATGATGATGATGGAGGGTGATATACTCACTCAATTGACGTGTCTGTCTACTTGTGTATGACATGTAAACGTTCACCAACTCTAATGCCTTTGTATGCAATAATGGAAACTAGACTGATGGATGATGTAAAACAGTTGAAAAATGAGTCAGAGACATTCCCTTTGAAATATTTTCTTTTGTAAAGAAGCATGCCTTCAATTAAATAATAATGCTGTTAGGTATAAATCTATGTGAATTAATTTTAAACTAGGCACAAAAGACAAGTATTTGCCAAATATGTGCTAAATGGAAATAAACTCAAGCTAAATTAGTAATGTGTAAAGTATGATTAGTAATAACAGTGATAATAAGTAGACGAATTTTTACAGTGTGATTCATTGTTTAACATGCCTAAAACATGAACTGTTAGTTCCACCAAATACTTTAGTTTTTTACGAGTTGATCACGGATTGATATCAGTTAGAGAACCATTGAAAACCAGCCTCAGGGAGTACTGGGCAGCTCCTGTCTCATCCTAATTTGGGAATCATCGCCAGTAAGCATCCACCTCTCCGGGATTCGAACCCAGTGGTTGCGTACTGACGATGATTCTCATACTAGGATGAAACAGGAGCTGTCCAGTACTCCCTGAGGCTGGTTTTCAATGGTTCTCTAACTGATATCAATCCGTGATCAACTCATAAAAACATAACTAACCCTTACAAACCAAACTATAGAAAAGTATTTTATTATTATTATTGTTATTCCCTTGAGTTCTGAGTGGAACCTAAGTCTTCGACAGTACATTTTTACTTTCTCCTGTTGTCTGCAGCCATATTAAGCTGACTCCACGATTGACCACTATCTCCTTGATATCACCCTTAGATTCCCCAACTGATTGTCTCACACCCGGGTCATAGTCGATGGTGTGGAACGAGCAGTCAGTGGTACGTTCCCAGGGTTCTTTGTCACTAGTCCTCTCTGGACTACTGATGTTCACTGCAAAATCAACAAAGGACAGTTGTTGAATGAAGTCTTAAGCCTGCTGGAAATGCATTTTGGGACACAGCAAGTTTCTGAATCATTTTGATGAATTCACTGATTCAACATTGCTAAGTGAAATCCGAATTTCATTCTTTATTCTGAGTGAATTAGATTCCCAAACTAAATCCAAATTAGTGAATGTTGACCTTCCAATTCTGGCGAATTCCTTCACTTATCTAGGAAATACCGTTTGAACTACAGGCGGATGACATTCATGAGGATATGAAAAACATAACTGAAAGGGCAAGTCAGACTTTCATCAGTCTGTAATCAGTTTGGAGATCTAATGCACTCAGAGTGAAGAACAGAATTCGGACCTTCAACAATAATCATTAGGTCGATTATTCTATAGAGATTATAATCTTGCAGTCGGACTCGAATACATGAACACAAATTATCTGAAAGAAGACTTGATATTTATATTCTTTCATATCAATGCATGCAGATAATTACTGGAATCAATTTGATTAGAACGTTGAAGAAATTTTGAATAGAGGAAACATCGATTATACTACCATGGAAATTCTGAAAGCCTGGTATTCAAGTGAATCTCCCAGCGAACGAAAACATATTGCTGTATGCCGAGTTTCGGAAAATATGACTTTACATTTTCGTGTTAGATGTCAAAAATGGAAACACTGCACCTAACTTAACTTTTGTTTGAAACGATTCATTGTAAGATATGCATCACTTCGGAGTACAATCTAAAAATACAGTGTGCTGATCCACATTTCGTCTTCTCACTGATCCATGCTGTCTACTTGCTTCACTACTAACCATGTTGTATCCTTTAGATTTTGCAGGAGCCTCTCATCCTCATCTGAAGACTATTCTACACACTGGTGAACTTCTCCAACTAGTAGACACGACTCTAGCAGTGAACACTTCTGTGGATTACATTAATAATTTGTATCAGTGGACTCTAACTGTATAAGCCCTACGTATAGACGAAATTTACTAGCTAATACGACGTGAATCACATGACAAGAAAGTTTAAATTCCAAGTCAATGAATATGATCAATAGGGACTTCACTCAACAACCAGTCACCACAATGGTCGCCAGGAGGTGCAATTAAATAATTCATGGATAAGTCAAGTGAGTGCATTCTATATTAAGTCCTTAATTTAAGATGTTGCCGAGAAGGACGAATAAATCTTCGCAATTAAATCGACCAGTTCAGAGAACACAACTAGATGAATATCATCCACCTGAGTAAGAAATCTTCTCCACTATCGTATCTGTTGATATAAGAGGCAGCAGGAAATTTGAATTATTAAGAAGACAATTGAAGCGAAGAAAATTTTCTTTTCGACGAAATCATCATCTAGACTGTACATTCGTGTATTTATATCAAATGGATGGGAAAGTTGCAGAATAATTCCCGGTTAAGGGTCAAATTAACAAAAATTACAATTAGGAATTAAAATGCCATAATAAACAGGGGGACGGATAAAACTCAAACAAAGTAGCATCATAATTACTAAGAAGATTGATACTGTGCAATCGTTCAGCCAGAACGCAAAAGACAAGCTGTCGCATTGGGCAGCCTCAACGTGCATATACCAGTTTACTTGCTTTTGTGGAGCTGAGTTCATCGGCCGTACCATGTGCTGACTTGAAAAACGCGCTTCTTCTTAGTAATTATGATGCTACTTTGTTCGAGTTTTATCCATTCCCCTGTTTGTTATTGCCTTTTAATTCCTAATTGTAATTTTTATTAATTTGACCATTAACCGGAAATTATTCTGGAACTTTCTCATCCATCTGATATAAATACACGAATGTACAGTCTAGATGATGACTTCGTCGAAAAGAAAATTTTCTTCACTGCAACCGTCTCCTTAATAACCCCTATGACCCAATGTAGTATATTCCGAAATTTAAATTAATGAATGAATGAAATAGTCAATACGTGAACAAAGCTTTATACTGCAAGAAATACACGTCAAGCAGTTAAGATCTTACACTTGCTTTGGTGATGCATTTTTGAAGTCTCAAGTCAAGACTATATCCGAATTCGTATCGTTTTACACAAAGGTTGGCGAACAAAAGCACTCCTTGTTTCATTTTCGGTTTAGTGAAACGTCAGTTTCTTTTCAAATCTCTTGTTTGTTCTACAACATTTACGACTTCTAAATGATGCCGGATGAAATTGACTAACCGACAGCAACAATAAAAACAACAAGCAGCAATCAATATAAACGGAGGGGATTTAAAAGTGACCACCTCATTCAATTATCCTGGAAGCAAAGTTTCAACTGAAGTCAGATGGCACGGATCAGGATGTCGAAAGTACGAAATTCGGAATGCCATGGATGTCACTCCTAACTCCGAAATCAGTTTAGAAATCGTCTGCACTCACCACGAAGAGTTAAATTCGGGTTTCCAGCACCTATGTTATTCATGTCTACCATTTGTGTCAGAAACGTGACGCTTCACCGAAAGCATTTCCAAAAGCTGGTTACAGACTTTTGTGAACAGCTGCCTTCTCTGTCTCCACACTGAAGATCAGGTTTTCAGAAGAAATCAGCAACAAGAAGCTCTGTGAACCATCCAGTCAAGAACCCACTGCTCAACAAATATGCCTAAGAAAATGGAATCTGATCCTATACTGGCTGATGAGACCACTGAGTGATTTCGCGCGCCATGCTAGACATCGAATGCAGACTGAAAACTCAACGACGAGTTTTGAATGGTACTGAGCGTGATAGAGACGAGAAATTGCTTGAAGAGTAGATGACACCTTATGAGCAATTGTGTGGTCATCCGAAGTGCACTGTGGAGGACAGGAAAAAATGGAGATTTTCTGTTGAAGTCACACATCTCACTGAGAACAGAAGGTAACAGTAAATGATATTAAGTGACGCAGTGGTTTTCCTTTATGCTATAAAGACTCAGCGGATCACTCAAATCATTTGCAACAGACTTCTGCAGACTTTGATTACCAACGTGCATCCAGATATATCAAGTGAAAATATATCGAATGTTTGCAAAGACAATACAAATAGAGAATGCTGTGAGCACGTTACACGATTTAATACAACACACACATACAAACACATAGACTGACTATTAAAAGGCATTTTCATAACGAACACATGGAGGAAGAAATGAGTGTTTTGAAACGATGACACAGTTAACTTTTCTGTCTATGCATAAGTATAAATTCGAGAAGATGAGAAGTGAAAAAGAGATGATGACGATGATGATGATGGCGATGATGATGATGATGAGAGTGAATCTTAGAGGAGAGAAATGTCGAATATTATTGTGGTTTGGAACAAACACTTATAAATGAAAGACAGTCAGGTGGTTCGAACTGCAGTGATCACGATCAGAACATATTCACGAAGTTCATACATCGCTGATTTCAACAAATATCACATATGATGTGAGTGGAATGTAGTCCAGTGTTCAGTCAGTGCTCACTCATCACATTACAATAGCAGGATGCATGAGATGACAGCAATACAGACTAACAGTAGTAATACTTTGATGTCTGGAATACACTTGATTTGTGACGACATGAGAAGCAACTCGTCGCGATCGGGTAATCTGAAACAGAAACATACAGTGACGAGAATGGGGAATATTATTAGCACACTGAATTCTAGATGTTAAAGAAGAACAATAAACAACAACATTGAGAATGAATAAAATTCATTGAACCTCTATAAAATAGAATTGTAGATTTCATCATGAATAAACATCAGTTAGTGGGATTATTGAAAAACATGGAACAAACTTGTAACTGTCAGGTTATGAGATGAAGCTCGTTGAACATTCAGACACCTCGGCGGAGATATCAATGATTCATCAATTCAAATCTTGTACTAGTACATTTCAAACAGGAGAAACTACAGGGAAGTACAAAAATCAGAATGTGTACTTCAGTGATTTGCTTATATTTCAATGTGAAACTATCGTGTTGGTGTGTAACAAGAGAAGACAAGGGCGGGTAACAGATCGTTTTATTACGAAAACCAGCACGTATTTATATATATTTCATGTACATTAATAAGGCTTATTCAAGCAGACAAACACAGTCTTCTGGTTGGTTGTTTCTGGTTTCTCGGAAAGTCAAGCCATATATCTGCGAATCTCATTTGCCCACGTTAATTCTGCTGTGATTGGTTGTTGAATCAGCCTTGGTCATATTTTCTCACGGCCAATATTAGTGACCCAGACATTGACGTAAATTAATGTCTACTAGTTGGCTAGCAGCCTGCTCTCACAAAAGTGCATATGTCTCTACGCTTCACAAATGCATCATCCATATGACTTGCATACAAACGAGTATTCTCAGCTACCCAATTCATTTTGGTCACTTCAATAACTCGCAAAACTATGAAGACACTATTTAATAAAATCATGTTAGTTTACCTTACTTTAACAGTAACATTTAACATATTATAATCAAGTGTTTCGACAAGGTCAATAAGCACACACTAATTCACGCTAATAAGTTAGTCTTACCCAGGAGGAGCAGGTTGAGGCGGAAATAAATCCTCCAATCCTCCCAATTCTTCCTCTTCTCCTTCTTCTTCTTTTCCTTCTTCGACTTCTGCTTCTTCTTCTTTTTTAGCAGATTCCTTCAACACCTCAGTCAGTGTCCTTTTATTCAATGAACCGTTCTGTAATTTATCTACCACCATTAATTCAGGATCACCGCTTCCACTAGTCTTTTCATAAATCAGACGACCACCAGCTCTCAAACGTCCCTCTAACTAGAATTATTAGATAATAACAGAAAAAAATTAATCAATATATATAATGGTTAGTTGATGGCGTGCGAATTTCAGTGAATGCAAGAACTTGATTGTATATATTCACCTCTCGATACTTAACACCTACAGAGAAATGAGTGAGCTACCCCAATAGGACATCTGTAGATTCAATATTCCTGCTCATCGCTCATCTCTTCCAATTTCTCTATTAGTCGGTAAATCTAGGAATAGTTTGAGCCAGAATCAAGATTATTCATATTCAAACGATTATTATTATTGATATTATTATTGTTTTTATTTTATTGGGCTCCAAGTGGAATATAGGACGCCAGCAGCACATCGCCATTTCACCCTACTCTCTGCAATGCATTCCAGGTGGTTACAAACGATCTCCACAATATCAAACTAATACACACGATTCCAGAGACTGGCTCAACATTCATCTCAATGTATGTCCCTTTAACCTCTACTTCCATTCGCATATTTGTTAGGCGATGAGTTTTTGGCTGATTCGTCGCCACACTTCCGTGCTGTTTGTTCACTCATTCCAATCATCCGATCTTGAGTAGCCAACTAAGTGTGCAATTGTCGATGAAAGTTTGGCAGCAGTCTTCTGGAAATGGCTTCCGTCATGTACACGCCAGGTCTCTCAACCATAGACAAGTATTGTCTGACTTGAGAATATTATTTACTGTCCGGTTCTCACTAATTATGCCATGTTCATTAAGTTTCCGCACTCCCTTGCTTATCGAATCTTGACTTTGATACCCACATCTGTGCAAGCCGGTAGTTTCAAATATTTCTGACCATCGTGTTTTCACATCGATAATTTATCTTAACACTAGCATTAGTCTGTCAGTCTGAGAGTTATCTGAGCGAATTAAAAGTCAGTCTGAACGGAGAATATTCTCCTCAATAAAGGCTCATCTTCAAACTCGGACAATGATAAAATGATAAAAATTTACATCTTAGCAATAGTAGCATGTTTCGCGGGGAATGCACTTTTACGTAGAGTAATAGATGAGTTATGGGATGACAAAATAAATAGTATTTATGTAACGAATGTTCCGGGCTGAATTCAGCTTCGGATAATATTGTAAAATGAGGAATGATGATGGTGACTAGTCATAGTAGATTCGTACAGTGTGGTGATGGAAAACTGGCAAGTCAGATGCAGGTCATAAAATGTGTCTATCAGGTGAGTGGCCAGTAAAAACGAGTATGGAATATACAGGAGATACTACAAGTGAGGTGCATTGATGATCGTGAAATAACCAATCTGTGAAATGAATCAGGTGGAGACATGCATTTAGAGAGATATTATATCAATCTACCTAATAACATACCCACTGCAAAATTAACAATGGTTGTAACGATAAAAAATGTTCTACTTTATAATTGTATCAACCTCAAGGGAATTTATTCGAAAGAATATTCTTCGTCTAGACTGACTTTCACTTCATGATATGGAAATCTTTCAAACTATAAAACTCTACTTGAACGACCCTCACTAGCTAAAGGTTATTCCCAGGGTAGGAGAGGAAAATGAAAAAAAGCACTTCGTCATGTTCCGCGCCTTCATCTCACAGGTCCGAAAGCAAAACTTAGTAAGTACATTAACCTCAAGGATTCGAAAATTATTTTCGGGAGACACGATAGATGGAGAATGAGTGAAATTCATTAAGCGTGAAACCCTTCTGCAGGAGAACAGTGTATCCACCTGGATTCATTCACAGAAACTTGAAGAAAAGTCTCCGTCGCCAATAGTCACAACTGTTCACAAGAAGATTCTCTTCATGAATCTGGAACTCAAAAGTGACATCGTAGCGGAAACTCTTAGAAACTGTCTTTCTAGATGTGTAAAGACGACATTTCAAGCAGCCACCTTGTGCATTACATTCTCCAGCCGGGAATTTATCAAGGCTATTGTGTGGGATAAGGTACCGCTTTTGGCCACCTCAGTGTGCATATATGAGTTCATTGTTTCGTGTGGAGCAAAATATATCGGCCATACGTAAGGTCAAGTGCGGAAACGTATTCTGGAACACTGTTCAGCTTGGCTAGCCAGCCAGAGGAGAAAATTAGAATATTAGCAGCTCCATCCTCAAACACCTTGTCAACTCTGGATATCGAGCACCCACACTTGAATGAATGCTTCTCAGTCCCTCAATATTCGGCATCTGAAATCTGACCTCTGCATTGAAAAGCACCACGAACATTCACTCGCCCTGCAGTTGCAAAAGTAACGTCCTCACTATAATTTCGATTTCATTTTATAATGTTAGTTCACTAGTACTACTATTATTATTATACTTATCACCCTTATTTCATCATCAATCTAGTAATGTTCATTAATAACATTGGGTTATCATGCAGATCTCATGAAGACAATTCATCGTCTTTATATTGGTTCTTCACCACTCTACACAATTATATTGATTAATCACTTTCTCATATCAATCACGTTATGCTAACTTCTGCCCCTTTACTAATTCCCAACACGTCACCCTTCTAGATTACACCTTACATCAATTAATACGTTTTCGACGAAACATTTTACCAGTGTCTCACTATTCTTACGAGTTATTTGTTAAATATAATCACGATTGTACAGCTTGTACAAATGAATCGTCGAGAAAGTATTTTCTTCGATGTATACATCTTTCTTTCATGACTTGATATGGGAATATTTCGTTTACAGCATACTGATTGGTCAGAGGGGAATTCTAAATTTCAACTTATCATAACTGTTAGTGAGATTTTCCCAGATAATACCAGTTAGGCTGACTGAATTCGGTATGGAAGGTTTAATTTAGGAGACCGGTTTGTTGACAAGGTATCCTACTAAGCTAATTATGGGCACCATCTTACTTCCATCTCAAACACCAGTGCGTTGCTCTCGTGAAAGAACAAATGACAAAACACACCTTGCGTTTCTTCGTTATTTTATTGTCAGTTAAGAAAATTGTGGAGTGAAATTATGTTACGACCATTAAATAACTACGATCTGGATTAGCTATCAGAGAAATTACAAAGGATTGTTAAAACCAAATTGGAATGATTGGAATGCACGAATTAGTCACTGTCTATGACTGCTACTCTTATGCTTCTATCGAATTATCTCGGTATACAATATCATGAAGTATTAGGATGGTGGGAGTGAAATATGTGGCTTCATGATTTGAAGTTTCAGCACCGGTGATGTTTTGCTATGCGGAGTTTGGTTGCTAACCTCACAACTAACCTTCCTTCTTTTTGAGGTTAACTACTCGCACCCCAATGGCACGGCTTAGATATGCACATACTAGGAATAGAGTCGCGACCGCTTGCATGGTTTGCTAACATTGAACCCACGAACAACCCACGCTGAAAATGAAAACCAACAAATGAGTGTTGCTTTAAAAATGGTGTTCATCTACACAACATAGACACAGTAATAGTGGGCTACATCTCTTGACTAATTTAACTCACGAAATTCCCTAGTCATGAAGTTCACTTTTCGGTGTGTGAATGAATCAGTCATGATTAAAGACGAAAACAACATGAGAGTAAACCTTCAGAAGCTTTCGATTGTTCAAAGTGCTCATTAATAAATAACTTACTACTTGAAGAGTATTTTCATCATTTCCATGATAGTAAATAGCACTAATATTTGTTCCGGGCACATCATCAGTTGTTCGATCACGTGTATACAGAAGGAATGGAACTTTCCTTCGATAACCCAGTAACTTAACGCTACCAGTATGTTCAACCCATCTCTCAAAATTATCATAATTTTTAACGGTCAGCGGATATTTCATTTGAACTCCTATAACTGCACCTCTGACAGTAACCTTCAAAAACAAACAAAGTGGTGAAAATATATCAATGTGATTAATGGATTTTAGTACATGAGTTCGGTGAATCATTCCGTTATCATTGTTATTATTATTCCCATGGGTTCCGAGTAGGACAGAGGACTGTTCTCTGCAGTTATCTTTAGCTGACATCACAAATGAATGGAGACCCTCATCTTCTCTTCACACGATATCCTCCTTGTCACCCTCAAACCCATACACTATTTGTCTTCTCTCACTCGACTTCCACTCGAACAATGGTCTGGCGCGTGATGCCATCCGAAAGTATCCTCAGGGTGTGTCCAATCTAGTATACGTATCATTCGACGTATTGTTTGAGCAGTAGCTTCTTGATTGGTTCTTTGCTCAGCAAACTTTCTTGTTGCTAATTATTTTACTGGCCAGTCATTGGATCTTCAGTGCAGAGACAGTGAAGGCAGTTGTTAAGGAAATTCCTTAGCCTGTTGGAAATGCATTTCGCAATGCGTGAGCCCAGTTTCGGACCCACAAAGAAGAAGACACTCAACAATTCAATACTCACATTTAAACTTATGGTTTAAAATGACGTGTTTCATAACAAATAAACTGATGGAAATGGAACTGACAGTGTTGCAACGATCACAGTTTCATTTGTTGCTTTGCTCGAATTTAACAGGAGAGGCCTATCAGCATTCATCTCTATCACGCATGCTTTCTTTTGAGTTCCGAGTGCAAAATAGGACTTCAAGCTTCAATGTGAGAAGTAGTTAGTACTGGGCAGTCCAAAATTCTTCAACAGGACGCACCTACTAGGATATGAATCAAGGTTCTGATGGTTACTAGACGTAGTCGTAGGGTATTCACCCGATGAGAACAAAGTATTTACTTGAAAATTCATGGCCTAATCTCTCAGGCACAGATATGACTACTGGCAGGATAAATCAGTTTATACACACAATGGCACTTCCACCCACTAAGCAGTTCTACACTCAGTTTCACAAGAATCGAGGACAACTGTCCCTACGCAAGCATCTGTAATATGTCCGAGGATACACATTATTCTGAAGACATTCCGTGAAAAAATCTGTTCGAGCAGAGCATATCTAACTCTGCCTCTGACAAGTCAAGACAAACATATATTATCACCCTGTGAGGTAACCAATCGAGAACCCTCCCCTCTTTGGGATAATCGCACCATCGGCACACACATTAATATGTGGGTAAGCATAGTTACTCCTATTAATGACAGTGTCAATCAGTTATGCACTTCATAGATAGGCCCAAAAGAGCTCACTTCATATGCGCAGCAGCGATATAGCAGTGACACAGGCTTCTATGGACGAAGCCAGCACCCAGCCATTTCGATTAAACTGTCATCCACGCCAACCAATTAGGCATTTGGATAGGTTCTATATGTCCTCTGAGAATACAGAAAACCATCGACAGTCATATTAGTAAGTTGTGAGAATGGTGTAACTCACGTTCCTACTCTCTGTATAGCATCTGAAATGACTACTATGCGGTTTATTGCTCGTAGCCAAGACAGCCCAGGTGACAGTTGTCACTTCCAAAATAGCTCCCAACTCATGATGACAAACCGTAATACTATTATCTTGCAGCCCTGAGTAATTAGGGAGCAATACAAACATTTTCAGTTTTCAGACCTTTCAGACCCTGAGTTAGAGGCAGTATGACTTGTGACATATAACAAAACTGAAAGATCTTAACTGGAAAACGTCCGATTCCACTATCAGAATGCCTAGTTATTACCATTAAAATAAAAAGCTTTTACCTCGTTGGAAGTTTTGATAACTATCTAAAAATCAGAACAAACCACAACAGTTATACAAGTAGAATTCAGTGAGTTTATACAATTTCAGGGAAACTAGTCTTCCTAACATCCACCATAACTCGTTGTATACACTATGACAAAAGTGCAAATGTATGCACAAAATTAATGAATGACCAAGTATACAAAAACCATCATATAAACAAAAGGCAATCATATGGCTGTGAGGGCAGGCTATAAGATGTTTGAAATCAATATACACAAATAAATGATGTTGAATCTGAATACACATCCTCAAATTTTGTTATATCAACGAAGACTTACAAAAAGTGCCATACATGCTAATAAGTATCCACTGTCGCACAAAACACACGAGACGTTTGCACCCACTGTCATGTGATCTTTTAGACCTTCAAGAATACGTGCATGCTGTAACACAAAAATGGAAATAAAATTTTGCAGTGGAAAACTAGGTCACCTGAAAACAGCTTGTCTATGAACTCGGTTTCTCCATGAAAAAGCTTACCTGGGGAGCAACCAAGACTGTAATGTTTTCCCATGAGGTTGATGTCTTGTCTCTTTCACTTTAGTCTGCTGAGCTGAAGTTCGCATAATCCACTCTGTCGTACAACAGTTTTTTCACTACACAGTGCTATGAACTCGTTGCGATAGTTAATCATCCCACCTTCTCTGCCGTTTACTCAGTGTTCCCTATATGATGTGGAGTTTAGGAGGTAAAATTCACTGTCACAGTCCATTCATTCAACAGAATGAGGGCACCAATGTAACGATTGTATTTTAGTGCTGCCGTGTCTCACACACAGATGTTTGGTAATCATTACATCGCAGAACTCTTGCTACATGAAAACTCTTAACAACGATTGTCTTTCGATATAGCTTGTTAGGAATAATTACGCACGAATACAGGTGCCCGATTCCTCGAGAATACGAGAATTAACCAGAATAACATTCATCGCACCAACTGGCTTATTGTGGGTCAAGTCAGCATTTTGGTCAATTCTATACAGAATGTGAATAGTGGTGCCTGCATACATCATACCATTCACTGGCGCTTTGTCCACCGTCTGACTTTGGTGGTAGCTCATATCCACTTGCGCTGAAAATGAGACTAAATCTGTATTTTCGGCGACTTTTCCGACAAACCCCTAAGCAGACATGTTATAATGCAAGTATTGTCTCTGCATCCTCCTTTGTTTGAAGCAAAGCATAGTGCAGTTGAACATGCAAACACAAAGTTGTAGAATGCAGAATCTAAACCATTTCTGGCCTTTAATACTAATCATAATTCACCACTAACACAGATCCTATTCCTAATCCTATGTGCTTATCTGATTGAAGTCCACAACTGTGCTGGTAAACAATTTCATGAAATAAACAGCCCATAACTTAACAGATATTTCAAACTACAATGTGTCAAATGTTCGAGCAGCTTCATTAATTTGAACCTCGACTTTGCTGTAAGTGTCAGATTCCGAGTTAGCACACCCTGCATGTCGGCCTGGACACCATGAACTTGATAAACACAAGTATTACGTATCACATGAGACAATGAATAGTTATATAACAAGCCTGAACGCATTTCAGATCGTTGTATTAAACTACTGTTTGCGTTTATTCTATTTGCAAGATATACGATGTTTCCATAGTAGTGCTTAGTGACCCGAAAATTTATCACACTTACCACTCGAGGCGCAGCGGCAGTAGATTCTTCTTCGACCTTTTGTGGACTGTCTTGGTATGGATTATTCTTAACGAAAATTTTACGATCAACAAGAATCATTGCCTCCTTAACAGCCAGTGATTTGATATAACCTTTTCCTACAGAAATAAACCAATCGAAATATAATGGGAACTCACTGGATAGGTAGTCTACCAGTTCACCTTGAGATGTGAAAACTGGTGAAGACGCAGAAACTGCATCTAACAAATGCAGAATCGTTAAAGTTACGAGGAAGTATTTCATGAATGTGATTGTAATCATACTTTGCCTAAATGTAAAGATGACTGTAGCACAGGGAGCGGATTCACCTGTAAAAGAGGAAAAGCAAACACTAGTCAAAAAGCCACCATGATGCACTAAAGCACACAGTTAAAATATGCCTTCAGTTAAATTGCCAGATCTTATCATTACAGGTTGGAGAAATACAAAGTGAATCCTGAAGCTATGAAGAAAAATCATAAAGGTTAATCATTTATGTTTAGCCCATCCACATTATTCAGCAATTGGTTTACTACATTTAATTCACCCATATGGGCATATTAAAGGCAAGAAATATGATAAGATAACAAAAGTGAAGTATATCTATTAGTTTCGAACGTAATATAGCAAAATTGTTGAAAACGCGCTGATGTCATCATTGTATGATTTCCACACTAATTGGAGCGATTAAACAAATTCCAATATCCAATATCCTGATGACGAGCTAGTATAAACCAGTGATTTCTTTGAGCTCGCTTCTTGATTGTGAGGTAGAGGTTCCAGATCTTCGGTGAGCTTCTGCGTAGTAAGTCCCGACACTCGACTGCTTTAGCTCTGGTAGACTCCAGGAGGAGTGGTGCGGGGATTGGTCGAGATGTGGTTTGTAGTATGCAGTATGTTAGGACTGTATTGCTGCCGTGAATGGAGTTTCACCTAACTCCCCTTGGTCATTCGGTGTAGTCATAAAAGCAGAATAGTAATAATAATAATAGGTTGTAGTGTAGATAATATAGGTTGAGATAAGTGGAATAATAAAGGTGACCTAAGGAAAACATAGAGTGAGAGAAGGCAGAATAGATCGTGGGGATTTAGTTAGTACGCTTATTCATTGACAGTTTGGTTTCAAATTTTATAAGGATAAGCCATTGAGACACAAACCTTGCATTTCTGCATGATTGTCTAGCTTCCGCTTAAAAATCTCCAGAGATGGCGCTGTAGTCACGGCCGCCGGTAAAGCGTTCCAGAGACGGCAAACACGAAGCGAAAAGAAATGTGATCGCACTCGAGGCTTTGGTCTCTGGTGTGCTATCCTTAACTCAGAAAGAACCTTAGCAAGAAGTTCACCACATAAAAGCGATATCATAAGTTGCAACTAAACAACCATATTTGCTGTTCCACTGGTGATACCCTATACACGCTGAGAATCTGTTATTATTTCATTCCAATATCCCAGAGAGGCTCCATTGCATAACCCCGCTAACTGTAGTCACTTTGTCCGTCGCTATGTCGGTTTAGCAACAAGTTATGTTTTTATATGCGTCTCAAATGAAATTTCTCATCGAGAAACATTTCTGACTCACATAATATCGGCGGCATCATGTACTTGAACTGCATCACATTTGCAGCACTTGTAACAGTAAATATCGCTTAATACTGATATCTGGGCAGTGTAATGGGCTAAGTAAAGTAGGAAGTTCAAAATTTTAGCGTGCATTTTGAAATTTTCCTGAAGTCATACTGGCATATTTGGCCTATTTATTGAGATGCTATTGTTCTAATTGGTTAGCTTAATTTCAGCGTCAATTTCAGTTTTCATGAACTCAAATCGGTCAGTTTTTCATTTTGAGACAAAATGCATCGGTATTATGATTATAATATGTAGCATTTTTGGCTTTCAGGTGGCCTATATTTTGAGGGGAGGTTTAATTGTTGCAGCATTCTGATTTCACAGATATAACTAAGGCCCATGTGTGAAAGGAACTGTCAATCACGTCTCATAAACCGTTAATGCCCAGCTCTCGCTACGCTCGGGCCCACGCTGTTCCTTTGAGTTTCAGAAACGCTTAGTTATAACGGACGAAAATACCAAAACACCGATCTGCCGCTTGAGATTTCTTTATTGTTACACCAACATATAAAAGGAATAAGCGAACTAAGGTCTGAAAACAAATATTACAATAATAAATCATAGTATTACTTCTGACGATGTTTCACTCTTCTTTCTGAACAGCGACCGATGAGACGATGACTGTCGTATTGATGCCTCCGCGAAAATTGGGGAAGTTGATTTTGAGCAAACAACCAAGAATTGATCGTTCAATCTTCAACTCCATTGACACTCCCCGGCAAAAAAGGGATCCAACCCTTTTTTCCTTCACGACCAATGCACGTTGACTTGGATGCCATTGCGAGAACCTGGGTCACACGGACAGAGCTGAAATGGAAAACAAACAGAAAAGCCAACACACCACAAGCATACCCACAGCACAATCTCACACATCAATGACGACCTGCGCCTCCAGACAGAGACCTCCTCTTGACATCTTGCAACACAATCGCCACTTGCTAGAATGACTCTTGCAGAATGCAACGTGACCATAGCACCAACTCATGATACTCTACGCACATCCTCTTATCTACTCACTACCAATTACCACTGCAATCGCTTGTCACTCATTCTGCCTCAGTTCTAGTAGCGGTGACGCATGCGAGCCTCAGTCGTTTACACTCTTTCTCCCCGGCGTGTCGGACCGCAGCTAACAATTATCTCCGTGTGCATTTCATTCTCAGCAATAGCCTAGCCTCCCCGGCGTATACGACCCATCTGCTGTCCTTAACATCAATCAATTCATTCATGGATGTAGAAGACTCGAAACAACTTCAGAAGTAATCACGACGAAAATTTTAACAAAATTACGCAATAACAACAAGATACGAAAACAACAAGTAAACACAATGAATCCAAAAAACACCAATTGATATGACACACCACACGTATATACAAACAGTACAAACAACCTCGCGGATCATGTCTTGATGGAATTCCTTTGAAGAATTGCAGGACTTACACCAGTACGCCTACAAACCTTCACAGGTTGACCATTGTAAGTTGTGGAATGTCCGGACACAAACAGAATTACCAACAGCTAGATGACAGATGATATCAATTCAGTATATACAATATGAACATATGTACAAAATCACACACCGAGCACATTAGACTGCTCATTGATGCGCTACCCTTTGAAGAATTGTAGGACTTACAGCAGTACGCCTACAACCCTTCTCAGGTTGACGCTCTAGGTTGGAAAATCATCTATTGTTTCATCCTCCGACTCTCTACTCTCAGCACCTTCCAGGAGACACAGTTTTCTGATATCTCGCACCAACATGCCACAACTAGTTCTCACCTCAACCGTCCTCACCAATCCATCACCACTACAGATCAGCCTTACTACCACTCCCAAAGGCCACCTACCTGTGGCACATTTATCTGCTACTAATACTATGTCACCAACCTTTAAGTTTCGGCACAACTTTTTCCACTTGTCCCTGGTCTGCAATGTTAGAACATACTCCTTAAACCATCTTTTCCAAAATATATCTTTCATGTGCCTGGCTTGTTTCCATCTTTTAATCGTAGGTATTCCTTCCCCGCTTGCGTCCTCTATGCCAGGGTTGCCTCTCAATAACAATAATTTATTTGGGGTTAACACATCAAAATCCTTGACGTCGTCCCTCACAGGCGATAACGGCCGGTCATTTAATATTCGTTCAGCTTCACAAAAAAATGTCTCCAGCGTTTCGTCATTCAAACTCTGGTTTTTAATTATGGAGCTTAAAATACGCTTGATAATTCCTATAAGTCTTTCCCATAGCCCACCTCTATGGCTGGCATGTGGTGGGTTGAAGTGCCACTCGATGTTCCTTTTCAGTAACTCTTCCTGAACTCTCGTTTGAGGACCTTCGAAGTATTCTTTAAGCTCGGCGTGACAGCCAACAAAATTAGTCCCTCTGTCGCTGAACATCATCTTCGGTACACCCCGGCGATTTATAAATCTATGTAATGCTAGCACGAATGAATCAGTAGTTAGCGAATGAACCATCTCAATATGCACAGCTCTCATTTTCAAACAGGTGAATAAACAGCCATATCTTTTACATAGGGTTCTGCCTCTCTTCACTACAAAAGGTCCGAACAAATCCACCCCAACGTACTCAAATGGATAATTCCCTTCAGAAGCTTGCCACGCTGGCAGTGGTGCCATTATCTGCTGTACTGGACGAGCATTTCGGAGTTTACATTCCATGCACTTATCAATTATTTTACGGACAGCAGTACCTCCCTTCACTATCCAGAACTTACATCGAATACTTGATAGTACTTGCGAAGTACCCAAATGACCTTCAAGAACATGGTAGTGTCTTATAATGAGATCAGTGACTGGATGGTAGCAAGGTAATAAAGCCGGATGACGGGTCTCATATGACGATTCTAACATTTGTAGACGTCCACCAACTCTAGCGATCCCTTCGGAAACTATCGGAGATAATCTATCTAACCGCACCTTGAAATCTGCGAAATCGGGACTATCCTCCTTGGTAATCTCACCCCACGCTTCCCACTGAGCAGCCCTCAAAATCGTTAACTCTGCATTTCTAATATCTTCGACTCTCAAAGGCCCCACATTCATATTTTCGTATCCCGCAAGATGCATGACCTTTAAATACGTAACATATCGTGTCAACCACGCAACCGCTTTCAGTAGTTTGTACCAAGAAGAATAATATTTAAAAAGTGGATGTAAACCTGAATGTCTTTCTTGAGTAGATGTTAAACTGACACTTGTCTTCAACTCCAAGGCACACTCGTTTATCGGTGGTTCATCTTCTCTACGAGGCCACATACTATCAGCCCTTAGCAAGAACTCTGGACCTTTCCACCACTTATTTTTAACAACATTCATATCAATAACTCCTCGCGATGCTAGATCAGCTGGATTTTTTCCAGACGGTACGTACCTCCACTGCTCAACAGTTGTTAGTTCACGAATTTGAGATACTCTGTTAGCTACAAAACATGCATATCTTGCTGACTCGTTGCGTATATAATATATCACAGACATCGAATCAGTCCAAAACGTTACGGGATGCTTGGGGTAATCCAACTCTTTACACACTGTTGTGAATAACTGCGCAGCTAGTAAGGCGGCATTAAGTTCTAATCTCGGAATCGAAACCGTCTTTAGAGGTGCAACTCTGGATTTACCCATCACCAGGCTAACATCTATATCATTCATTAAGGTGGTTCTGATGTATACGGCTGCACCAAATCCAACCTCAGAGGCATCAGAAAAAACATGGAAGTCAATTATATCATGATTTCTCGACGGCTTAAGTGGACGTGAGACGGAATGTAGATTCAGCATTCTTAAACTGTTAACCCACCCCTTCCACTCTTCTC